GTCACTTATATTCTGTGATTCTCAAAGTGTGCAAGAGGTTAAGCTTACGCAGCCTATTTCTGAATATCTTGCTATATTGGTGCTACCTTAATCTTCGTATAGCAAACATTCCTCACGAATCCAGAGGTAGCAAAGAAGACAGCTTTTGGGGTGAAGGTCCGATTTTGCTTGTGTCGGCGGGTCTTCTCCTCGAGGGAGCCACACGGCACTGTGCTTGTTAGAATCGTAGAGGACCCAACTCTCATCTCTCGTAATCATGCCTTCCAAAAACTCCTTTCGGTGCGGACAAAGAAGGAGAAACTGACAAATGGGTACCCGCCTGAACCGCGTGCTATCGGTCAAGACATGAGGGATCCATCGAGTCGGCACTTTCCTGTGGCGAGGGCGTGGAGGGGACCGAGGACTGTGGGATGGGTGCACCCGAGTCTTATCACAAGGCTGCGGGTGCTAACCTCCGAGATCTCTTCGACAGCGCCGAGAACGGTGAGTCTTCCGCCTGTTTGGGGGCTTCCCAACCTTGTCTTGTCCTTGGAAGCCGTGTCTCCTCCTTTGAAGCCTGCGAACCAGAGAGCTTGGGGGTGTGTTCAAGTGTTCGAATGGAAATTTAGCACCTAATTAGTGCTGCGTCGCGACTAGGTGCGAAGTGACCTCAGCAGTGAATTACGCATCGATCCCGATGGCTGGGACCAATCTGGTAATAATAATAGCAATAGTAATAATAATAAATATGAGCATCAATTCACTTTGTTTTGTTCCCAGGAGTCAGAAGTCTAAAAACTAGCAATAATAAATTAATAACCACATTTTATCTGAAATCTCCTTTGCCGCTTCCAAAATCGCTGTTCTCCAATCCTTTGCACCATTATGGACATGTACGGCGCGTCTCGCCCACAGATAGCTGGCGCCCAATCGCCAGCCAGCACTAAGTGCCAAGATTTGAGGTCACTTCGCACCTAGTCGCGACGCAGCACTAATTAGGTGCTAAAATTTCCATTCGCACCACTTGATACACACCCAGAGCTTGGCACCGATGATGGAAGTGGTGTCCCTTCCCAATGCGATGCTGATAATGTTGACGGTTTCCACTGCTCCTGTGCCGCAGCGCCATTCATTGAAGATGATCGCTCGAAAGTGCTCTTGTGGAATCGACATCATGATTAAAGTTAAAGAAGGCAACCCGGCTATATATACCTACTGCGGAGAAGTATGATCGACAGCGATAATCTATCACGTAGCAGATTCTAGGTATCGATCAATAAGCGAAAGTTCTGGAGCTTTCGAAAAATCGGCTCATATTATCGGCTACTTGGGATGGCTCATATTACCATCCCAAGTGGCAGAGCTTTGTCAAGCGGTCGATACTTTTGTCTCACCTTGATTACTAGAAGTGCCTTACACCGTAGGTAGTTGTGAGCATGACAACTTCGGAACTCTCTTGTACAGATTTTTTAGAAGTCCAACACCACGAAGAAATTTACTTTAACAAAAACTAACCACCTTCTCTACAATTCGTATGAGATGTGCTCCACACTGTTTAGCGGGAGGAAAATGAGCTCAAATCGCCTTAAAAATTGCCATCTCCAAAGTGCTTGCTCTGAACCCATTGATCTTCCTAGGTGTCTCTTCATTATATAAACCACAACTTGGTGTGTCGGTTTGTTTGTATGTTTGTCCGTCCGCAAAATGAAGTGAGTGATAAGGCAGCTAATGGATAAACAAGCCGCTAACAAATCTGGGTAGCTCGCAGGATTTGAGATATCAATGTTTTGCAATGGCATGTTGTGATAACACCCTTAGGGCTATATAAACACCTACTTAGCACACTTTCGTTCATTGCAGTGGTAGGAGGAGAGCAGTGGAGGAAGGAAGACTATGGAAAAGAGGAGGATGCAAAGCTCACAGAGGTTGCAGCTATTGCCGGGGGACCAATCTGGCATGTAGATACGTTACGCGCCTGCCAAGATGGTTCATCTAGCTAGTGATCTGTTTTTCAGAGATGCTTGAAGCTTGATCTTCTCTTTACATGCATTTTACAAACACAATCTTGTGCATAATACCTACCGCTGATGTATCAAAATCAACAAACTACATAAGTGGGCAAGAAGTTCTTCTTTCCCCTACGAGTTTTACCGCAACAAATCTCGACCTTTCGTCGGTAAGCTACCGTCTGCTATGAAGGGCATTGCAGTTTTCGCGGATTGCTTTCTGGTGGACTAGATTTGAAAAAAAAACTAAGCCAAGATCATCAAGGTTCTTTTGCGCTACACCTCCACCTGTTCTCATCATGGAACCTTGCCATTCCTTTTCTCGCGATGGCAGTGGAAAGCTTGCACCACTAGGAATTATATGGCATGGGATGGGGACCCGAAGAGATAGCGAAAGAAGGTGATAGTAGGACAAGAGCTGACAACGTGGCCTGGTGCCTCTGCCACCAGATCGTTACGCCCTTCGCATTGAAAGTAAGATGTAGTGATGTATGTCATGTGGGCTGAGGTTTGGACCAAGAAGGGAAGAAAGGGCTAGCAATAGCTAAGAACTGGTAAGGGACGTCAAAATAAATTGTGCATACCAAAAAGTTTTTTGCGGCCTTTGCGGTGACAGTGATGCCTTGGTTCCTCCATGTAGCAGGGGGGAGGGTCTTATAGTTAGGGGAACACGGATAGTGAGGGATCAAAGATGATAACGACCAATAACGGTTGACAAGGAAGTTTACAATTTGAGCAGTTTCGTTGTAGCCTTTGTGGTTACATTAAGACCCTAGCCCCCCACAAGTTGCATGGCAGGGTGGAAGGAACACCTATGAAACCTGATCACACCCATGACTCAACGGAGATGATAAGGGGCTCCCGAAAGCAAGTATATCCGACTCTGTTGTATATCGTGGCAAACAATCAAGGTGACGAAGTTCGATGGAAGGTGACACGAAGTGATAGTGAGTGGTAACTGTAATGATAAATGAAACGACAACTGGAGTCCGCACTCCATCGAACTAAACCGATGAGCATCTGACTATGTTCCATTTCTATTCCTTCACCAAGAGAATAGAAGTTGTTGAATTGCTAAATTATCCGGACATGGACTAATAGTAAACTCTCATGATACTTAGGCATTTTATCATATGCTAGCGTTCCCTATGATGCTTAGATAATTTGTCATTGATCGCATTTCATATCACAACCCCGCAATGCAGTACCGAAAATTTATTAAAACTACTAAGTAAATTCCTACCCTAATCGATATAAAATATCGAATTTTCGAAAGCCAGATGTACTATTTTTCATTCTGACATGCTACTGCGCGCACTATGCAATAATCTTCAGTGAAATTGGGCAACCTTTGAACTTCATCTGGCGCTTTTTTCAGAGCTTACCTTACTATTGCTTTCTCAGCCAAGTGACCTAATATTCTGTGGGTTGTCGAGTTTCACTGAAGCCCACCAGTTAATGCGCGCTGTTGCGTGCTTAAATTGGTTCATTCTAGAATACATTGCATGTCAATATCTGAACCAAAACAGATCGTTTCCATTTTTTTTTTTTTTGGAGTTCAGGGAGATAATGGAAGGGCAGACCGCTTACGGAATCACGACTTTTTGCGACAACTTCTTATCAAATTTTTAGGACTCAACTTATTCCGTGTGATATGAGACAACAATTCAGTCAGTCCTGAATTAGTAGCAGCCCTTCCTATAGTTTCTATGCCCAGCTGTTCGATCGAGTGTTCCGATTGATTTATACCGAAATTCGATATCCAACGACCACCCTCTGAGATCTCAATTTAGCTGGAAACTTGTCTCAACCGCTAGTTTAAATCCCTTGAGGGTTCATCATCGGCGTGTGCATCGGCTAGTGATGTTTGAGACGAATCCCCATCGGTTGTTGGCTTGTGAGAATCTATCTTTGATGGGAATTCAACTCGTTATGCTCTCAAAACCTGCAGTTGCATCAAAATAAGGAGTCAGAAGTGGCTGAGTGAGGTTCAGACAAAGGATCGATTCCAGCGGTATCGCGGAGATATTCCTGGAAAGGTCGTCCTAGCACCACCTGGAAATTCACTTTTTCAGAGCGAACCTGCGTAATCTTGCATTTTTTATTTTTCTCTTACAATTCTTAGCATAGCTATGTCAGCTTCTTTGAGCAACAACAATTTCAAATGAAAGAATTCATTTCAATTCCTGAGACCGCGCCACGGACCGTTGTTGCAGAGGAGTATAAGGTGAGCGAAAAAAACTCCCATCTTACAAAATGAATGACGGAGAGCGGGTCCCGTTTTTTGAGTTTTTGACTGTTTCTCCAATTTTTTCGCTAACCCTTTAGTTGCCTTTAGCTTCCGTAATAAACCCCTTCATTATATAAACCGCTAACTTGGTGTGTCTAGTATGTATGTATGTAAGTATGTATGTCCGTCTGTCCGTCCGCAAAATGAAGTGAGCGATAAGGAAACTCATGGAGTAAACTACCGCTAACAAATCTCTATTGCCATGTCATGATCGTGGCGATGACCTCTATTAACTCCTTTGCCGCATGCGCATCACCTCCCTCGAGATGTTGGTGTCATAGGTGGAAAAGACCACAGAAGAAGAAGACGTAAAGCTTGCGCAGGAAAGGAAGGTCCCGGCGCTTGACGGGGAACTGATTTTGGTGATCAGAGAAAACTACGAATAGAGGAGGCCACACGTCTAAAGCTACTGAATTGCAATCGAATTTGCTGGTTGTAAGATCAACTAAGATACCACCGTAATAACTTCGTATCCCTATTTTGTTGTTCTCACAACCGCCCAATGCTACAGGCAGCCGAGATTGAGGACAACAATACAACCTCAAGAAACTGTAGGCCTCACGGCCGGTTGCTTAGGTATCCATGAATTGTAATGAAAGTGTCCTTTGTTTAAAAAATGAGTATCTACAAACACCTATTGAACAACATTTAAATATAAATATTAACACTGTCTATGGATATTGTTGAAATGACATCTACCAACACCCTAATGAATGATCCAATCGCTAGCCAAATCCACCAAGATACCCGTTGTTATACCCTCCGATTTGGAGATTGACGCTAAGACCAAACGAGCTTCCCCAGCTGCTTCCAAATCCAGGATATCCGCCACCAAAACCTCCAAAGCCAGGATAACCTCCTCCAAAGCGAGGATAGCCTCCTCCAAAGCCACCAAATCGACGAGGATAGTAGCCGCCAAAGCGAGGATAACCAAAGAATTGGCGTTTCACTCGACGTAGCCTGAAATGAAACGTGTCATAAATCTTGCGAGGATTACGGCTAGCCAACTCAACATACCTTACCCTTTAGATTTGGCAGCCTCACTCATTGCAGACCGTGGTAGAGGAGAAGAAAACGAAATCACAAGGAGTGAGTAGAGCAAACAAAGAAGTGGTACTGTATTCATGCTCAAGTCAGAACCGATGTTCCACGTCAAAAGATTTTATAGTTGCGCTCTTCTTTAGCAAATTCCCAGTCAGGTGTGATGTTTTTGGCAAACTCTTCTTGAGCACTTATTTACTTGCACTGCCGTAGTATTGTGTTGACCCAATCACTCAAAGAACCGGATTCGATGAGCAATAAGGGACTATTTGGAATGAAAGCGCTCGACGGTAGAAGAAAATAGACCGTACCGTTAGAGTGAGAGTCGTCTCAAAATGGATTATTTATTTGCCCCCAGCAGCTACTAGTAGCTCCCTTCCCGAGCATCTACGCTGTCAAGCCGAAGATGAAAGGCTCTCGCAATTTGTGAGTGGACGTCAATGCTGAAGCAATGCACGAAGAAACATTGGGCAAATTTAAGGCACCGTTCATATGTGCAAAGTTTTGGGCAAAAAAAGTTAAGCAACGATTCCGAGAGAAGCTCACTTCCCGTACCATTCCTGCCGCGATGGGCGGGGCCAGAAAGGACTGATGGAACGAGTGTCGTTTTGAGTTGACCACTGGTAGCTGTGAACAGCTTACGTAAAGTCGTTTACGTCAACACGTTCAGCATTTTACACGTGTTGGACAGCGTTCAAAGCTGACGATCGTACATGCCCACTAAAGGCTTAGGCCAAGTAGGCGAGTAGGCGATCAGGCGATCGCTCATGGGCATAGCATGTTTAACACGTTGACGACATCGCGTGTTTTGGCATTTTGCACCGCGTGGGACAGGAGCGATTTTGCGAGCGCGCCGTCCTCACCTTACTTCCGCTTATTTTTTGTTTAAAATGCACAACAACTTGAATCTCATAGAATTATTTCGGCAAGGATGAAAGCATAAAGGTTAACTATATAAATAGCAGTAGATTTTTGTTAGAAGAACGCATAATGACCACGAAGAAGCAAAAAACATCACTTTCGCTGCGAATGAAGTTAAAAGCATTTATACCTAAGTTCTTCCATCAAATACAAATATCTTGAAACTCACAGAGTTTTGTATTAACTGCTTCTACAATCTTTCATATGAATGTGAAAGGAATACTAGGAAAGAATTGAATGAAAGTTTTGTGCGTTCAGAAAATCTTTGCTAAATCAAGGGATATTTGACCACTCTGGCTGCCATGTGGTTTATAGTTATGCTAATGTATTATCTATAGAATGAATACAAAAAACTCGAGAAGAAGGAGCGCAAGCACAATAAAAATGAATGACATAGTTCTGACGCGCATGCGCGTCAGAATGTCCGATGCGGTGCCAAATTTCTGACGCGCATGCGCGTCAGCCTGTCGTCAACGTGTTACTTGCCTACTCATCTACTCGCCTGATCGCTTACTCAAATAATCGCTCTATCTGCACGCATCATTCTTTTGAAATCATCGCCTAGTCGCCTAATCGCCTAATCCCGTGTGCGATCACCAACTCAACGCTACCTAAAAGTTGAATAGTTGTCTAAGATTGGAGTTGACCTGTGGGTGGTCGGAAACTTAAAGGCAAAAGTCAGGCTCGTGTTTGGGCATTATGGCGCCTGAAATTGAGTGTAGAGATGGGAGGTGGAACGACAGTGAAGAAAAAACGCAAAGAAACCGTCGACAAGACCGAAATCGAAACCCCTTCCTTCTAGCAGTGAAGGAGGCTTGCTCGGGGGAGAGCCACGTCCAAACGAGTTTTCCGGATATGCCAGCCGTTCCATCGGTTGATACGGCAATCAACCTAGCTGATCTCACACGTTAGGCCAGCCACGCACCACATCCCGCGGTGGGCGGGACCAGCTGATGAAACGAACCCATCGCTGTAAGTAGTAGGCCAGAGGCCTTGACGGCGCGCAATCTCGAGTCAGGAGTGTGGCATCACCCCTCTGAGCGCATTCCTGGAAATATTAGTGATGGAAAGGCCTTCTATGGTCACCTAATCCTGACTCGTGGCTTTAATTGTTAGGAGTAGGAATACCTGACACCCGAAAATTCAGTTTGTGATTCCTTGCGTATGCTTCGTGCCCGTCTAGGAGTGGCGTTATCCCTAGCGCTATCCGCCCATTGACTTCTAAACACTGACTGACGAATACTGAACACATTTCTGTTCGAGTACAACTTCAATTGGGCCTACAGGAACCTCCTAATTTGCATTTGTCGACATCTCTGCTTTTCAAAATTTAGTCCTGGAGAATCATCTCTTTATCTCGACTGCTGCAACTAGGTTCACTTATTTAACACATTGCGTACCGCGTGCGCCACATGGTGGCGCACGATTTCACACGAAACATCATGGTTTAATCTGATTTATTTGACATTTTTCAATGCTCATGGACTGGTTGCACTCATTTTCAGAGCCTGGAAACCATACGTGTCATCACTGGTAAAATTGTTGATAGATTAATGATGATACGTTTTTGAAAAATATAAAAAAGCTACGAAGGTGCTCATACAACGGCGGTCCGCAATGTGTTAATGTTCTGTGTTCCCCAGTTTTACAGATGCTAACAAGGAAGGTCGTTTAGGGTGTGCCGAGCCTTCTCAAAATGGTTTCTCGCATGACATTGGGG